AGTAGCTGGGACTACAGGTGCCTGCCACCATGCCTGGCTAATTTTTTGTATTTTTAGTAGAGATGGGTTTCACCGTGTTAGCCAGGCTGGTCTCGAACTCCTGACCTCGTGATCCGCCCGCCTCGGCCTCCCAAAGTGCTGGGATTACAGGGATGAGCCACCACGCTCGGCCCATCAATTTTTAATTCAGACACTTAATTCTTTGAATCCTTTTCCCCTAGAATCGAAAGGCCCCACAGAGGCCACATCTGGTCAACCTCCCATAGTTTGCAGACATTCTCTCTTAGAGGCCCCCGAGATCCTCTGCTTGTCCACAAGCAGCATCTCCCTCCCAGGTGGACCCCTGAGGTCCCCCTTTGACTAGAGTACCCTGTGTCCCACAGCTTCCGCCTGTCTAGTGGAAGTTGGAGGACAGCAGCTCTGCCCCCAATAAGTGAGAGACTTACAGGCATGCCGGGTTAAAAAACAAACACGTAAAAGATCGTTCCCTGCTCTTACAATCTAGTTGAGAGTCGGGCCATAAAAAGGGACCCTAGGCCAGGTGTGGTGGCTCACGCCTGTAATCCCAGCACTTTGGGAGGCGGAGGTGGGTGGATCACCTGAAGTCAGGAGTTCGAGACCAGCCTAGCCAACATGGTGAGACCCTCCTCTGTACTAAAAATACAAAAATTAGCTGGGTGTGGTGGCGGGCGCCTGTAATCCCAGCTACTCAAGAGGCTGAGACAGGAGAATTGCTTGAACCCGGGAAGCAGAGGTTGCAGTGAGCCGAGATTGGGCCATTGTACTCCAGCCTCGGTGACAAGAGTGAAACTCCATCTCAAAAAAAAAAAAAAGGACCCTAACACATAAAGAGATTTTTGAGGTGTTAAACCCAAACCAACAAGGTGGAGAGTCTCATCCCTCCCTCCACCATCAGTCCTACAAGGTTAAGACATCTGACAGAGAAGGAGCCTTTGTCAAATTGGTAGTTCGCAAAAATAAAGGTTGTGTAGCTTTTAATCTAAAATTCTACCCCAACACTAAGTTCCGTAACTATTTTGATTAATATATTCTTAAGGATTTAGCGACTCTGTGTGTGTGTGTGTGTGTGTATGTGTGTGTGTGTGTGTGTGTGCGCGCGCTTAGACGAAAACAGAAACGGTTCCTTAAAATACCCAGTTTGTGAAAGCACAGGGCCTGGAACCACTTAGTACTATCACTTTGATCAAGTACTATCAAGTACTATCACTTGATTGCTTCAACCCAATAAGCTTGGGAGAGCCTGGCACTGTGCTAGGATCTTCTGGAGAAATCCAAGAAGGGTAAGACTTGGGTTTTACTGCTCTTCACCTCACTACTCGGATCTCAGGCAGGCAGGGGACCAGGGTGGGGGCTCCAATTCCCGGTCCGTGTTTGTTTTTTCAGGGGGCATTTTACTGAGCACTAAATACGCGCAGGTGCTGCACTAGGTGCCAGGAGCCCCGCACGCGGAGGAGCGGCGTGCACGTGTGTCAGTTAACTGGGCGCACAGTGCCCGTGGCGCCGCAGACCCAGCCCTCGGACTCAGTTTCCCCGCATGGGGATCGCTCGCCCCGCCTGCGGCGGCCCGCGGACCAGCAGCCCCCCGCCCCGGCCCTGCCTTCCAGATTTCCGCCCGCGCGGCTGCGTCCTCCACACTCCACCGGAAGCTCCCGGCCGGGCCGCCGGTAGGTGGTGGCTGAGGCGGCGACGAGGTTGGCTGCTCTGCACCCCTGCCCCAGGACAGCAGGGCGGCTCCCCGGCCCCCTTCCTCGTCCTGGACGCCCCGCTCCAGCTCCCCCTCGCTGAAGCGGGGACTCCCCGGGCGCAGCCGGGGACATGGAACCTCGGCTGCAGAGTCGGCCCCTGGACTCACTGCCCCCAGCCCAGCCGCAGGCGCCCCGGCCCCCCGGCGGCTCATTCCTGCTTCCGCGGGCACCGGCGCTGCCTGGCTCCCAGCGCTGCGCTCGCAACTGGATATGTTGAGGTGGCGACGCGACACTCCCCCGCCCTCGGGAGGGATCACGGACTGGGCTGGGGGCTCAGACAGGCAACCCGGCCTGCAGAGCCGGGCGGCGGGGGCTGTGCTAGCGCCGGCAGGCGCGAGGAATCACAGAGCGGGGCGCCCAGCCTCATCGTGGGGCCCACAAAGACTTCCCATGGGAGTGGGGTCTAGTGCAGGGGCGCCCCGAAGGACGAGTGGGAGATGGGGACACGCGGCGCAGAGAGACTTCTCGTGGATGGAGCCGATGGAGGCCCAGTGTGGAAGAGAAAGGGGTCAAGGAGACGAATAAGGAGCCACCAGAGACGCAGGGGGAATTCCCCCCAGAGGATGCGGAAAGCCGGGGAAAGGAAGGGAATCCGGAAGGAAGGGCTGAGAGCCGGTCAGGTGCTGGCAGAAGGGCTGGTTGGATAGAGACTGGGACGGGCCCAGAGCATTTGGCGTCCTCGACATTCATATACACTTGGAGAGATGATTCCCTGGAGATCCAAGTGCCTATATAGACAATCTTTTCTAGGGGTTCTACCATTAAGTGAGGAGAGGGTAGATGTAGAAATTGGAGATGAGAATAGAGTGTTGTAAAGGCATGCGTGGTTAGAGAACTGGCTCTGGGTTCAGGAGTCCCTACTCACTAGCTGTGAGACCTTCAGCAAGTCACTTAGCCTCTCTGTGCCTCGGTTTTCTCATCTCTAAGGTGGGGATGATGATGGCAATACCTGCTTCATAGAGTGACAATTAGATGAGATGATGTCTGTAAAATTACATAACACAGCACCCAAAAGTAGTACTAGTTATTTTTCCCTTTTCTTATTAGAGCAGCTTGGGCACATTTTGATGTCCGTGGGAATGAACAGGTAGAGAGGGTGGTATTGAAGCCAGAGGGGAGAGAAGGGACCCACAGATGGGGAGAGAAGTCTTGGGTGTCTGTTTTATCTCAAACTCCAGGGAAAGGAGGGAACAGGTAGGGCTGTAGGAAAGTTTGCAGCTATGGGGTACACAGTTAAAGGGAGTGTCTTCTCATGGTCTTGATGCAGGCCTGGAGGTCGTTTGCTATGGGGGTGAAGGTCCTGATGTACACTGTGGCTGTAAGATGCCGTGCCCTCTTTGCCACCAGCCTGTGGCAGCCCCGGTGTTACACCAGGGCAGGTGAGCAGTTTAATGTATCTCAGGTCCGATGACCTGCACTGCCCACCTGTGAGGCTCCAGGAGATAGATGTGAAAACACAGTGTAAGCATAATGTACCACTTTCATCCTTTTCTCTGAGGAGCTGGAAGGCCTGTAGTCACCATCTGAGCCAAATGTCAAAGTCTTTCAAGTACTTCACTTGGGCTACACACCACACTTTGATCCACGATCTCATTTAGTCGTCACAACAGTTGGGTGAAATAGGTATTATTGTCCCATTTTACAGATGCAGAATCTGAGTTTCAGAGAAGTTAAGGACTTTGTCCCAGGACCCGCAGTTAGTAAGCGGTGGACCCAGGATTTCAACTCAGCTCTGTCTGACCTCAAAACCCATGATCTGAAACCAATGTGAAAGTTTGCAAAACCTCTGTAGCAGCTGAACTCGATGGAAAGATATGTAGGGATCGTCTTCTCCATTTAATAGATGAGACAAGAGCTGGGTACTCTGCTCTCCATCAGAGATCACGTGCACAGAGCTTGGGGCCCCACAGCCCTGAAGTGAATCCTGCTCCACCACCAGAGGCTGTGTGCCTTTGGACCAGGCATCTTGCTTCTCTGACCCTATATACAGCTGCAGAAGAATTCCTTGCAGGTTGCTGTAAGGATTTGGAGGGAAACTGTTGCCCAGCACACAGTACACATGCCAGGAGCCATCGTTTCCACAGTGTACTTTTCCTGCAAACGTGGATCTACGTCCCACTTGGCTGCTGAGACCAGCTGCCGTGATCTTGTAGTTTAATGCTTTGTTCTCCTTGAGGCAGCAAAGTGGTGGCACCTGACCGGAGCATGTAGCCACCTATGACTTCCTGAGTGGGGTGGTGCAGGGACGGCCCTGAGGAGTCTGTGGTCCTAAGGCCTTGGATTTCATCAGGGCTTTCCTGCTCCTTCTGGTTGCCTCAGTCCCAGGCAAGATAGGGTCCCAGAATCTTACAGCCTAGAGGCCACCTGTTGCGACTTCTTTTTTACAGATGGGGTCATCAGAACCCACTGTGAGGAAGTGACTTCTCTTTGAGATCATCCAGACACTCCACACAGAGCAGAGCAAAAGTGCCTAGAACTTGAAATTTTGGACTTGCCTTCAACACCCTGGGGATTTCCACCAGGAAGGTGAGCACCCCCACTGAGAATTCCAGGCTGCTCAGAGGTGCCAGGGAACACAGACCAGGGGTCAGCTATGGCCTTCTCCTCCCATGTGCCCAGGGAGGTGGGGGAAGCCAGCGGCAGCCTGCGATTCTCAGCCAGGGGAACTCTCACTGTGCTTTCTGAGAGTCTGTGACACGGGTCATTTTCTCTGACTTGCTCTCTTGCTTTTTCTCACTCTCAAAAAAAAAAAAAAAAATGACTGGACACTCCTAAAGCCTTCAGTCACCATCCAGGGGATTTTTATCACCACAAAGGGTAATTCCTGCTCCATCCCTGCTGTGACTCAGCTGTGACGTTGAACCACACAAGCCAGAGAGAAGAAGATAAAGTCATCAGAGCTCCTACTCACCAGAGAGTGAGGCCCAGGCCAGGACTCCACAGGGCTGGTCCCCTGTCCTGAAGCAACTTAGACAGGCCCTCTGGCCAGCCTGGGACCCTGAGATGGCATCCAGCTCAGGCAGCAGCCCACGCCCGGCCCCTGATGAGAATGAGTTTCCCTTTGGGTGCCCTCCCACCGTCTGCCAGGACCCAAAGGAGCCTAGGGCTCTCTGCTGCACAGGCTGTCTCTCTGAGAACCTGAGGTGAGGTGATGGAGGAGCGGAGGGTGGGCAGAAAGTGGGTGCCAGGGAGGGACCCCTGATGGGAGGTGAAGGGCAGAGGAGCCTGTGACTTTGAGCAGGTGACTTTTCCTGTCTGGGCCTCAGTGTCCACACCCTTTTCTCACACTCCCTGACACTGCCCCTCTGGCTATGGTGGAAGGAGAGGAAGCCACAGAAAGGCGTCAGCTCCCACAGGGGAAAGCGATCACACCGAGGAGAGCCTCGAGGCTGTGAGGCCACTGTTTCACTGTGTCGCCTGGGGCACTGCTAATGTCCCTAAGCTGCAGCTTGCTTGTCTGTAAAGCTGTTTTCTGCGTAGCAGAATTATTAATGAAGCCCAATGCATAATAATCACAAAAGTTCTTATAGTAACAAATGTAAACCCTTTGGTGAATGACAAACTGTTAGACGAATATCTCTCCTTCCACAGCATTGCTCATCACCTCAGACTGTTTGCTGGGAACCCTTTTGGAGGGGACAAAGAGATCGATATATATTTATGTATTTAATGATATTTAAAGTATTAACCCAGAAAGGCATGACATCAGTACTATCATCAACATTCCTCTTTAAGCAATTATGTGCCTACTGTGTGCCAAATGCTCTGCCCTCAGGTCCTCAGCACAGCTTAGAGGGGTGGATACTATTATGATCCTATTTTACAAATGAGGACATTGGGGCCTAATAGGTTAGGTCAGCTTTGGTCTGTTTCCTGGCAAATATGCCCTTAAACTGCCTCATGTGATGACCTTTTGTTTGGGGTTTTACAGCTTAAGAAGGTGGGAAAGCTGAATCAGGCAAGTGAGAAGTTCAAACATGATGACAAAGGAGGAGGCTGTGAGAATAGCGAGGAGAGGCTGTGACCGTGGAAAGGCCAACCAGAGGGTGGAGGAGCAGAGGTTGTCTGGTTTTACCATCAAGCTGATTGTCAGGGTTCAGCTCAGGCTCTGGTGGTGGGTCTCCTGGTTTCTCCTCTCCCTCCTTCCAAAACCTGGCAGAGGAGGGAGCTGATTGGAATTTGGAGGGCTGAGGCCTGAGGCCTAAGTCCTGAAGAGCTTCTACTCAGCTGTGCTCCTGACTCACTCTACCTTCACTAATCCACATGCCCTCTGGGGCCTCATTCCCTCTTTCGTAAAATGGGCTATCTCAGTAGCAGGTCATAGACACCAGGAGCTTTGTGAAAACGCAGGTGCTGGCCAGGTGCAGTGGCTCATGCCTGTAATCCCAGCACTTTGGCAGGCCGAGGCAGGAGGATCACTTGAGGTCAGGAGTTTGAGACCAGCCTGGCCAACAAGGTGAAACCTCGTCTCTACTAAAAATACAAAAATTAGCTGGGCATGGTGGTACACACCTGTAATCCCAGTAATCCCAGTAATCTCAGCTACTCAGGAGGCTAAGGCATGAGAATCACTTGAACCTGGGAGGCAGAGGTTGCAGTGAGCCGAGATCATGCCACTGCACTCCAGCCTGGGCGACAGAGTAAGACCCTGTCTCCAAAAAATAAAAACCCCCCAAAAAACAAAACAAAACAAAAATCCATGGGTACCCAGGTGTTACCCATTAGAATCTGACACCCACTCCTGATTAAGAACCTCCAGGCCAGATATTCTCTGAGGCCCCTTCTTGTTCTAATAGGCCATGATCCTCTGTAATTAGTAAACATATGAGACCAAAACCAAATGGAGGACCAAATGAGAAGAGCAAGTGTAGTCACATGTCAGTAATCTCTTGCCTAAACCCCTGAGATCAGATGTGTTTTGTAATTAAGAATTTTTTTAGAAAAGCAAATCAGGGCATTATATAATTCTGGCAGGGAATGGGGCAGTGCCCTGTAATTAAGCACGTTAATGTTTCTGCAATGAAATATGTATATATTCACACTAAGTGGAGTAAGTAAGGGCTGTAAAAGCTTCCGGTCAGTGCAGTCAGGGCAGGTTTGGCAGCCCAGGAAGCTCACTGCAAATTACCAAAAAAACGTGGGATGCTCGGCACTTTTGCGATTTAGGAACTGTGGCTCTGGGATTGTGGACATACACAATCCCCAACCTGCTGACACTTGAGGCTTCTGGAGCTGTCAGGAGAGTGGATGGTGCAGGGAACTGTGGTGCCTCTCTCCAAGGCTTTGTCCATGTTTCCCCAGGAACGGCGAGGATCAGATCTGCCCCAAATGCAGAGGGGAAGACCTCCAGTCTGTAAGCCCAGGAAGCCGTCTTCGAACTCTGGAGAGGGTACGTTGGTATATCACGGAAAAGCATTTGTCTGTTGTCTTGATTTTTCCAGGTTGAGGCCAAGTAGACAGCTGCGCACTCTGCCCCTGGCAGGCACCTCCCAACTAGTCCCGAGTCCAGACTGAATTTACTTTATAAGGAGTGAGGAGACTGATGTTCACAGTGGTGAAGTGTCTTGCCTGAAGCCACCTGGCAATAGACTTAGGGTGAGAACAGTCCAGACCAGGGGTCCACAAACTATGGTTCATGGGCCACATCTGGCCCACCTCCTGAGCAACGAGCCAAGAGTGGTTTTTATATTTTCAAATGGTTGAAAAGATCAGAAGAATGATAGGCCATGTGTAATGACCTGTAATTCTTGAGGCTGTGAGGCCAGTATCTCACTGTGTGGCCTGGGGCACTGCTGATGTTCTCCAGCCACAGCTTGCTTGTCTGTGAAGATGTTTTCTGCGTCACAGAATTGTTATGAGGCCCAATCAATAATAATCAAAAAAGTTCTTATAATAACAAATATAAACCCTTTGGTAAATGACAAACGTGCCTGTAATGCTGAAGTGTTAGAATTTGAATTACATACAATTACATGCCTGTAATTCTAATACTTCGGGAGTCCAAGTTGGGCAAAGAGCTTGAGCCCAGGAGTTTGAGACTAGCTTGGGCAACATGGTGAAACCCCATCTTTACAAAAAATATAAACATTAGCCTGGCATGGTGGCACGTGCCGGTAGTCCCAGTTAGTCTGGAGGCTGAGGTAGGAGAATCACCTGAGCCCAGGGAAGTCAAGGCTGCAGTGAACCATGATTGTGCCACTACACTCCAGCCTGGGTAGCAGAATGAGACTCTGTCTCAAAAACAACAAAAAAAGATATTTTGAGACACATGAAAATTATACAAAATTGAGTACTTGCAACAAAGACTTCATAGCCCCAAATATTTACTATCCAACCCTTTATAAAAAAGTTAGCAAACTCTTCAACTAGATGGTTCTGTCTGCCTCTGTTTGCCCTTAGGCAGGGAGAGACCGTTACCAGCTCACCTCTTCGGCTCTGCCAAACTGTGCTTCTAGGAATAAGAGACACATTTGGAAGTGTGATAGGCCAGAGAGACATTTCCAGGAGCTGCGGTTTAGAACCCTGGCCCTCCCAAGCTGGAAGGACCCTCACAGGTTACATGTCCTGCTCAAAGGTTCCCACGTGCTATCCAGAACTGATCCATTCCCACTAGCTCATGACAAAATGATAAAAATAAGGCAATTCTATAAATGAGTTTATGTAAACTGAATTCTTTCCATTTCTAAAACCAACCTTTACTCTGAGATTGTGTCTGTCCTATGCATGTCTTTATATAAATGAGAGGATGTAATAATAGATGATAGTTTTTGGTAAAGCCTTTACTAAGAAAAATTGAAAAGATGGCAATCTCTTTGTTAATGTCTCAATTAAACACACACACACACACACACACACACACACACACACACACACACTCATATTGGTCCACGAATCCAAACAGGCAGGAGTCACTGCTCAAAATCAAATCCTCTTGTGTACTCATGGGGCCCTGAGACCCGCAGAGGAGTCTCGTTGCTCAGCCACCCTCTCTACCTCCACTGTGAGGTGCCTGGCTCCTTTCAGCCAAAGCCCTCTTCTTGCAGCAAACTGTTGCCCAGGGATCAGGAGCCTGATGTCCAGGGGTAGTTCTGCATAATTCTCTGCTCGGCTGGCAGCAATTCCCAGGCCCTGTGTCTGCACCTGTAAAATGAGGATGTTAAGCCGGCTCTGCAAGGCCTTTCCAGGAGACCATGATAGCAGTGCCAGCAGGGCAGCTATCCCCCTACCGTTGGACCAGAGGCAGGCGAGTGTCCACACCTCCTTCTCCTTTCTCTGAGCTGGTCCTTCTCATTCAGAGAGTTCAGGGGAATTTCCTCTCCCACCCAGAGCTGGTTTTGAGCACTCTCCCATCTGCTTCTCAGCAGCCTCTCCATCGGCAGGCCCTCAGGGAGTAAGAGTAAGGATCAAATGCATGTTCTTGGAACTTTACACTCTGCAACGTGGTAAGAGTTAATATGATACACTGCTCCATGGAGTAACTCCCTGAGCCTCCCTGTTTGGCTCCTGGTGGATTGGCTGTGAGACACAAGCAGACCCTCAACTCTCTGTGGGCCACTGTGCCTCACTTGCAAAAGGCCGTTACCTGCTTGAATGCTCTAGGACTGTTGTTTTTAGCTTGTTTTATTTTTTCCTCTTAACAAAATTAACATACATCTATTGTGTAAATCTTAGATCACATAGATGTTTTAATAGCTCCTAATCCAATGGCTTATTTTCATCTTTTTCAATCAGATGAAAGTAGAAACGTTCTGATGGAGGGGGAGCCTGGAGCCCTGGCCTGTTAATTGCCCCATTTCTTTCTCTTATCCCAGCCCCTAAGAGGTTCTGGGGACTCCTAGGGCCCTGCAGAGCACAGTTTGAAACTTGCTGCCTTGAGCCAAATGAAGGGACTATAATTCATGGTAGAATTATAGGCACCTTAACAGGCTATAGGATGGGAGAGGAAGCTGCCTGTATTTGCGAGCAAAGAAGGCTTCCTTAACGCAGGCAGACCTCTGAGAGGCAGCAGCCCCCTCCCCTCCCTGCTGGCTTCCCCACCTCGTGGAGTCATGGACTCCTGGTGAAAAGCTGGGGTGGGGAGGGGCGGTAGTCATGGTCTGGTCACCTACACAAAGTCACATAGGGGAAGGACCAGGGACTCCTCTGACTTTTGCCCCAGTGGGAACTTTGGGGGACTTTTGAACAAAGGAAAATGGCTGATGAAAAGTCAACACTTTGCATGTGTGGTAATTCCTAAGTTTGCCTGCACATGTAGGGCAACCTGGGAAATGGAGGCAGGGTAGAGGGCTGAGGACCAGCCCTCCTTGCAAACACTTCCCATACCATCTGCTTATCAGTTTATCCTCAGCCTCTGACTTCATTAGATGATTATCTCCTGAAGAAGTGCCCAGAGCCATGGACTGATTACCTGATATAAGAAGCGGATATTAAAGGATTAATGTTGACCTAGTTAGAGACTTGATAGTTGCCTCACATGATCTTCCTGTAGAAGTGACAGTGAAGGAGGGGACGTCCGGGGGGACTGGAAGATAAAAACCTTCAGTTCTGTCTGCTGAGGATCAGCAATGGGATAGTTTCTCCCACTCTCTTCCCCCTGAGGCCCATTCAAGAAGGTCAAAGGCAAGCTGACATCTGATGCCAGTAGCTCACAGTAAAGCCTTAATTTTTCTAGAGTCAGAAAATGACAGAAGTTTAAGCTGTCTAGTCCAATTTCTGTTCTGTACTGGATTCCTGCTACGTAGCTCCATGTCCTTCCAATGGCAGAGAGCTCGTTACTCCATGAAACAACCACACCCACCCTGGGGCGCTCTGATGGAGGCAACATTCTCCTCTTCCTTTGTACTGAGCTGAAGTCTGTCTCCCTTGAGATCACAAAAGGCAACTCAGCCCCCTGTCCCCGGAGTCAGTCCTACCTCCGTGGAAAGACACTGAGCAGTCTTTCGCCAGTCTCTGTGCATTTGGGGTAAATGTGCTTCTGTTGATCTGTGTTCCTTGGAGTGTGATACCTGGGAATAAACCCCCAAACCTTACACTTCTGAGTTTGACAGTGTTCATCCGTAATCGCCCCGATCCTGTGACATTCTGTGTGGTGGGTGGTGGTGATAGCCCTATTTTACCAATAGGTAATATTTTGAGGCTCCATGAGGAGGTGTGCCTGGACCAAAGTCACACAGCAAGTGAGAGGCAAAGCCAGGCTCTAACCCGTGGCTCCTGAGGTGGTGGCATCTTCTCTATGCTGCCTCTACACAAGGAATCCTCCCCTAAATGTTTCATACCTGCTTAAACAACACAGTCAGGCTTTAGTGCAGGAGTCCACCAAGTGCTATGGAAAAAACAGGGATGGGCAAGACTACTTTCAACCAGGAGAATCAGGCAGGGCTTCCTGGAGGAGGCGGCAGTTGAGCTGAGCGGAGGCTGACAGAGACTAAACTGGCCCAGTTACAGAGGAGGGCAGGAACAGGCTGACAGTGGCAGGCTGACCAAGCTCCCCATGTAGAGTACCCCCTCAGCACCAGCTGAGACCTGAGCCAAAGCAGCCCCTCCGGCCATCCCTGACCTCAGCCCAGTGTGGGGGTAGGCAGTGCCTGGCCTGCTCAGATCCTCTTTGTTCTGTGCAGGTGCTGCAGAGGTGGCACTCATGCTCCCGGCACCCTCTTAACAGTCAAATTCCCAGAGGCCCCAGGTCTCAGAATGGGGCCTCCCGCTAGGGCCCACTGTGACCCCACCACAAAGGGCCTGGGTAGCTGGGGTGACCAGAAACCACACACACAGAGACTCCTCAGACCCAGACAGAAGAACGAGTGTTCCCTCAGGGCTGGGCATCTGTTTTCTCTATTTCTGTCTCCTCCTCAGAGGAAATTCCACTACACACTTTATTTTTAGCAATTTGCAAGCAGTGAGGCCACTCACACAGGGGCCACTTGTGACACCAGACGGGTTTGGCCCGGGACACATCCTTTGTTCCTCTCCTGCAACGCAGTCTGATTCCTGATTCCCTCTCCTGTCTCCTCGGTCCCTGGCCTTCGAATGAGGCCACCCCAGGCAAGGACACTATGGTGGGGAGGACAGAGCCTGCACATGGACTCCAGGCTCCTGGGCTGCCCTCGCCTGCCCCGTTGCCTCCTACAAGTCACTGATCACCCCTGGGCTTCAGCTTCTCCACCTACCCGAGGGAAGCAGAACCTCAAAGCCCCAGCCTCCCCATCATGGCTGTGAGGATCTGATGGGACAGTGTCTACATGAGTGCCAGGAGAGCAGTGAGCCCTTGCAGAGGCTCACAACTATGGGGGAGAACACACAGGCGCACCCACCTCCTCCACTCACGAGCTCAGCGTGACCTTAAGCCATTCCCTCTGTTTCTGCCGGTATTAAGGTGACACTAATCCAGCCCCACCTGCCTCAGAGGATTGTCACGGGGATCCTATGGGACAACATTCAAACACGTTTTGGTCCTGTTCATTTAGGGATATTCCTCACTGCCTTGAGGAAATCCAGTGGGAAAATGGAATTTTAGAGAATTTGTTGTTAAGAGTTTATGATGTGAGGATTAAATGAGATACATGTGTATGACAGCCGCTGGAGAACTGGGACTGGGGATGTCCCAGGGGCAGTGTGCTTAATCCATAGGAATAAGAATACTAATTAGTAGTAATACTAATAATAGTATTTGTAATAGTAATAGTATTAGTAGTAATTAGTAATAGTATTAGTATTACTACTATTAGTATTCTTAGAGTTATTAATAGTAGTATTCAACAAGTATTCAGTAGTAGTATTTAATAATTTCAATACTAATAATTATTATTACTAATAATGGCTCATATTTATTGAACACTGTGTTAGGCAGAATAATGTCCTCCAAAGATGTCCCCATGTGAATCCCCGGGACCTGTGAGTATGTGACCTCACATGGCTCTATGCATTTGCCAGGGCTGCCATAACAAAGTGCACAGACTGGGTGGTGTAAACAACAGAAATGTATTTCCTCGCAGTTCTGCAGATCAGAAGTTCGAGGCACGGTATTGGCGAGTGGTTTCCTCCAAGGCCTCTCTCCCTGCCTTGACATGGCTGTCCCCTCCCTATGTCTTCATGTGGTCCTTCTCCAAATTTCCTCTTCTTAAAAGGATGCCAGTCACATTGCATTAGGGCCCACCCCCAATGACCTCATTTTAATTTAATTAGCTCTTTAGAGGCCCTGTCTCCATATTCTGAGATACTGGGGGTTAGGACTTCAACATATGATTTGGGTGGGGGGTGCTGAGCCCATAACAATGGCAAAACAGACTCTGCAGACATGATTAAATGAAGGATTCTGAGATGGGGAGGTAACCCTGGATTATCCAGGTGGCCCAACGGTCCTCAGAAGAGGGAGAGGAGAGTCAGAGAGAAGGGGAGATGATCCACTGCTGGCTTTGAAGATGGAGGAAGGGACCAGAAGCCGAGGAGTGCAGGAAGCCCTGAGAAGCTGGGGAAGGGAGGAAGCCATCTTCCCCTTGGGCCTCCAGGAGCAACACAGTCCTGCTGACGTTTCCATGTTAGGACCCTTGGCCTCCAGAACTGTACGATAATAAAGCTGTGTTGTCTTAAGCCATTAAGTTTGTGATGTTTTGTTACAGCAGTAATAGGTAACTAATACCAGTGCTTACATGTATTATCTCATTTAATCCTCACAATAACCCTGTAAGGGGGATATTATTATTATCCTCATTTTGCAGATGAGGAAACTGCAGGACAGAGGAGTTAATAACTATCCCAGGGCCACAAAGCTAGTATGTGAAGTGACAGAAACAAGCTCTGAACCCCAAAAGGCTGGCTCCTGAGGCCACACCCTGAACTTGCGTGAACTCTAAGGAATGAATAATGATGACGGAGAAGCCTCCGAAACCCTCTCAAGTCACCCCTGCCCCTTTCTGCAGCAACCATTCAAGGCTCGTCACAGGCCACATCTGGGCACACATCACAGAAGGATGTCCCTACATCTGAATAGCGTTTCACTTCCTGAAACGGGCATTTGCTGTTCACACAACACCAGGACGGCTCCGCTGCTGAAAGACACATCCCCTCCACCTGCAGGGTGAGGTCTGGAATTTCACTCTTAGCTTGATCATTTTCACCTTCTTATCCCTTTTATGACTCTCCCACCAAGCTTTGACCCTTAGAACCACAGAGGATTGGAATCATGGACCTGTAGGGAATGGTGGGACCTGAGAGGCTCCCCGAAGTGTGTTCACCCAGGAGCCAGGTCCACACGTAGCATCTTCCCTCCACTGTTCTCACATGTCAAAAGCTACATGTTTAGGGAGGTTTCATCACCGCAGACTTCCTGAAGCCAACACAGTCTCCCTGCCAAGGCCGCCCTCTGCCTGCCTTCCATAAAACATCTGTTTTCTATTATTTGTTGGGAACAACTTGTCCCTGAAGCCCTGGGCAGTTGGAGGGGTGGGGGCGGGGGTAGGGTGGCCTTTGCTGGGCTGTGTTCTGTCTGTGTCCCAAACCAAATGTACTCATTAAGCCCACAGCTCTCTGCTTATGTTACTTTTAAAGAATAATAACAGTGTGGCTTTTTGTATTTACTCAGTCCGAAACACCTCTGTCCTCTCCTGCTTTCATCCAAATCCCCTTTCACGTGGTTCCATGAGATTATTCTCTCAATAAATAAATAAATAAACAAAGAGCTTATAGACTCAAGATATTATTTATATGCAATAAAACTCACTCATTTGAAGTATACAGTTTGAGGAATATAAATAATCACATGACCGCCACTACAGTCAAGTGGCAAACGTTTCTGCACGGGATAAAGCTGCTTTGTGTCCCTGCATAGTCAATCCCTTCCCCACCCACAGCTCCAGGCAACCACTGATCTACTTACTGTCACTCTAGTTTTGCCTTTGCTAGAAGCTCGTAAGAATGGAAAGAGGTAGTATGTAGTCTTTGGTGTTTGACTTCTTTCACTTGGCACAATGTTTTTGAGGTTCATCCATGTTATTGTTTATGCTGGTATTTAATGCCATTTGGTTGTTCTATAGTATATATAGACCAATTTGTTTATCTGCTCACCAGTTGATGACACATTTGGGTTGCTTTGAACAAAGCTGCCATGAACATTCACATACACACCTTTGTGCAGACACATGTTTTACTTTCTCTTAGGTAAATTCCTAGGAGTGAAGTGTGTGCATTGTACGGTAACTTTATAAGTATGGTTTATAAGTAAATTATTTTATAAGTATGATTTAACTTTATAAGATACTTTCATAGATTGTATCTCTTCGTTGTTTTGCTTTTGTATCTGTTCATTGTTTTGCTTTTTTTTTTTTTTTTAAGAGAGACAAGGTCTTTCTCTGCTACCCAGGCTGGAGTACAGTGATGTGATCATAGCTCAGTGCAGCCTTGAACCCCTGGGCTCCAGCGATCCTCCCACCTTAGCCTCCCAAGTAGCTGGGACTGTAGGTGTACGCCACCAAGCCTGGCTAATTTAAAAATTTTTTTAAGTAGAGATGAGGTCTCACTATGTTGCCCAAGCTGTCTTCAACTCCTGGCCTCAAGCAATCCTCTTGCCTCAGCCTCCCTAAGTGTTGGGATCAGCCTCCCAAAGTGTTGGGATTATAGGTGTGGAGCCACTGAGCCTGGCCTTGCCCATTTTTTATTAGGTCATTTGTCTCTTATTAGATTGTAAGAGTTCTCTATATATTCTGGATACAAGCCTTTATGAAGATACAGTCATGTGCCATGTAACACTCAACACCGGACCACATATACAACGATGGTCCCAGAAGAGTATAGTACTGTATTCTTACTGTACCTTTTCTATGTTTAGATATATTTAGATACACATGTACTTACAGTGTTAGCAGTTGCCTACAGTATTCAGTATAGTCACGTGCTGTACAAGTTTGTAGCCTAGGGGCAATAGGCTGTCACTGAGTTTCGGTGTGTAGCAGGCTATACCATCCAGGTTTGTGTAAATACATCCTATGATGTTCACACAATGATGGCACATTTCTCAGAACATATTCCTGTTGCGTGGCTGTATATGTTTTGGAAAAACTTCTCCCATCTCTCCTGGGCTGACTCCTGTTAAGAGGCAGTGATGTGTGTGGGAGGGGCCCTGGGGCTGTGCGGCCTCCCAGCTTGGCCTCCTTGGGCAAATCCCTTCCCCTCTGTGAGCCTCAGTTTTTTCATCAGTAAAATAGGAATAAAAACCCACCTTCTCTTCCCCACCGTGCTGTGAGGAGCCCTAGGAAGAATTACAGCCTTGAAAGCATTTGGTAAATGCTTCAGACCTAAACAGGTTAACAGTGGGGTCAAATTGCTATTGTAATAGCACTGAGACCCTCCTGTGTCCCTTCCCTCAGGCTGGACATTATCTGAAAGGGAAAGTTCTGCTGAATGGACACACCTTAGTCTAGGATAGATGGCCAAGGAGGGATGCAGATGGGAATTGTGACCACAAGATTCCCCATGGACTTCAGGAGGAGGGACGCATTTACTCATGCAGTCAGTGTGTTCTGAGTGTCTCAGCTGTGCCAGGCACTGCCCTCAGCACTGGGAACACAGCCATGACCCTTACAGAGCCGCCCCGACCAGTTGGGGCAACCAGAGAATGAGTGATGATTATGGAGCTGTGTGGACTGTACCCTGACAGGAGAAATAGCAGTGCTGCCCAGGATCACAGTAGGGGCCTAGGTCCTGTTTTGAAGGAAGGTCATGGAAGGGCAGAAGCTTGAAGGGTGGAAAGGAGATAGCCAAAGGGAACAGCATGTGCAAAGTCGTGTGGCCCAAGCCATCTCCTACACTGGTGGATCCTGGTGCATTGAAGAGAGCCCCCAGGGTAGCCACAGGGATTGCTATAACATTCAGTGATGTGATTATTATTTCCAGGCTCATCCCGAGGTGGCCGAGGCTGGAGTTGGGTGCCCCTTTGCAGGTGTCGGCTGCTCCTTCAAGGTAAGTATTTGAGTGTGAGAAAGGAGATCTGTCCACTGCAGTTCCAGACCTCCAGGTCTCCCCACTGCAGCTCCTCCAGAATTTTACCATAACATCAGTCCACTCATCTGGATGTCTCTTGTACTAATGACTTTCCCAAGCATCAGAGCCTACTATTAAGTCATCATAGTACTCAGGGAGGTTCTTCTTAATGTCTCACCTAAGCATCCACAGAACATCACTAAAACGACCCCCACCTCCACCGCCCCTCTCCATGGTCCTGAATCATCCTTGCGCTCCAGGGCAGGGCAGAATTAGAAGCTACAATGCATGTGGCTCATCGTGGGCATGTCTGATGCCAGGGTCTTCCTCTGAATCCCTCCCACTGTACAGAAATCCACTCCTCTTCGCTGGGTGAATGAATCTGACTTTCCTTGGTGACCTTTGATAGCAGGGCACTCCACTGCTCCCCTGTCCTCACTCCACCTCTGTTTTCACTAATCAGCCCCACTCTCTTGTCAGGGAAGCCCACAGTCCGTGCAAGAGCATGAGGTCACCTCCCAGACCTCCCACCTAAACCTGCTGTTGGGATTCATGAAACAGTGGAAGACCCGGCTGGGCTCTGGCCTGGAGTCTGGGCCCATGGCCCTGGAGCAGAACCTGTCAGACCTGCAACTGCAGGCAGCCGTGGAAGTGGCGGGGGACCTGGAGGTCGATTGCTACCGGGCACCCTGCTCCGAGAGCCAGGAGGAGCTGGCCCTGCAGCACTTCATGAAGGAGAAGCTTCTGGCTGAGCTGGAAGGGAAGCTGCGTGTGTTTGAGAACATTGTTGCTGTCCTCAACAAGGAGGTGGAGGCCTCCCACCTGGCCCTGGCCACCTCCATCCACCAGAGCCAGCTGGACCGTGAGCGCATCCTGAGCTTGGAGCAGCGGGTGAGTGTGGGAGGCAAGTTTGCCTTCAAGCCTGGCTGAGCCCCATCCTGTCTCCAGAGCAGCAGACAGGCTTCCTACTAATCATTCATCCTGCTTAGAGCAGTCACTCCCTCAAAACATATCTCCCCTTTATCCCACACCCTTCCAAGAAGAGCGCTGAGTTGGAAGCTGTAGTCAAGGTCACAGCCTCCCATCCAGTGCTTCAGTTCCTTTGTGATAAGACACCACCTGCCTGAGCAGCTCATTCCAGTGCAGGACATATTCCACTCTTCCTTATACTAAGCTAAATCAGCCTCTCTGTTCCCTGCATTGTTCTTGGCCCTGGCCCTCAGAGCCCACAAGACAAATCCACCTTCTAGTCCCCATGACAGCCCTTCAGGGATGGAGAGTCGGATTCTGTCCTACCTGAGTGCTTCCCTTTTCAGGCTAAAAGCCCCGGCGCCTTCACTTTTTCCTCAGAGCGTGCTGCTTCACATTACCCTCCTATGATCTGACTCAGTCTCCAAAGAATTCTATATGCTTGGAGTGTGGTCCCAGGCTGACTCCAGATAATCCACTTAGCCACAGTTCTTGGTCCAACAGGGCTGTCTTCTCCTCCCTTATTCTAGAGCTTATACTTTTCTTTTCTTTCTTTCTTTTTTTCTTTTCTTTCTTTTTTTTTTTTTTTTGAGACAGAGTGTCACTCTGTCGCCCAGGCTGGAGTGCAGTGGCACGATCTTGGCTCACTGCAACCTCCACTCCTAGATTCAAGCAATTCTCCTGCCTCAGCTTCCTGAGTAGCTGGGATTACAGGCTCATGCCACCACACCCAGCTAAATATTTTGTATTTTTAGTAGAGATGGGGTTTCACCATGTTGGTCAGGCTGGTCTCAAACTCCTGACCTCGTGATCCACCCTCCTCGGTCTCCCAAAGTGCTAGGATTACAGGCATCAGCCACTGCACCTGGCCTATACTTTTCTTAATGTAGCCAATCACCATTCTAATGTTGCTTCTTTTGCAGTAACGTTACATCATTGCTCATACTGAGTTAGGCCTGGGTTTTAGTTCCTGCTTCACCATTACCATTAATTATCTGCTTCACCATTCACAGTTACCATGACAGCAGGTGCTCAGAGCCACCTGCCCTATGGGTCTGAGCAAGTCACTTTCCCTCTCAGGACCTTCCCCATCAGTAAAGTTAACGATTAAATTTTCTCTAAGGATGCTCACTTCCATTCATGGCTTCCCTACCTGAGCACACCCAAGAATAAATTTGTATTCTTTCCACTTCATTGGGGAAAGCTATTAGAAGGGCCAGGCGCTGAGTTGGAGTGGCTGAGGCTTTAGCCTTTATTTATGTAACTCTTGCTCCAGTTAAAAGGCAGCCTCCCTGAAAGCCGCAATTGTACCTTCATTTCACCCACAAACTTCCCAGCGCTACTTTTACATACCAGGCACTATGCAAGGTACGGGCACGAAGACAAAATGAGCATGGGCCCAGCTTTCAGTGGAGGAGACCATCTGGTAGGTAAGGCAGAAAAGTATATCTCATAAAATCATTGTAAGGGCTCTGTAAGAACATATTGAAACAGAGCAACTGAGCTAGGACAGTGGTTGAAGGCTTCCCAGATGAGGGGCCATATGAGCTGGATTCCTGGTGGATGAGGAAAAGGAAGGCCAGGTAGAGGGCAGCACGTTCAGATGTAGACGCACGCCTGAGTGAGGCGTGGTCAGGAAAGCACCTTTGGGGCAGATCAATCTCCACATCCCGCCCTTCCCATCCCATCCCCAAGCCAGGTTCTGGTGTTCCTGGCTGAACAGTCTTCCCTACAGGTGGTGGAGCTGCAGCAGACCCTGGCCCAGAAAGACCAGGCCCTGGGCAAGCTGGAGCAGAGCTTGCGCCTCATGGAGGAGGCCTCCTTCGATGGCACCTTCCTGTGGAAGATCACCAACGTCACCAGGCGGTGCCATGAGTCGGCCTGTGGCAGGACCGTCAGCCTCTTCTCCCCAGGTAACACCTCCCAGAGGCACAGAGACCTTCTTGGGAAGCAGGCCCCACAGGACCCAGGAAGCAAGCAGTGAAAACAACCAGCTCTGTGACAGCCACGCTGTGTCCAGTTTAGGCCAGTGCCCATTCAGGCCACTCGCCACGGCCGAGAACCATGCTGGGTGCTGGGACCTTGAGGTTGGTGGGCGAACCATGCTCTGCCCTGTGGCTCGCAGCCACACACAGCAGTGGCCCAGGCTGACTGACATTCAGGCCCTTTCTCCTCCCTGAATGTCAGTCCCATTCTGCAAATAGGAATCAAAACTGTTACCCACTTCATGGGTTTGGGATGTGAAGGCAAGTGTGCTGTGGGCCACATTGTGTGCAGACGAGATGGATGTGAATGATGATTTTCACCAGTGAACACCGTGGGACCCCTGGCCTCAGAGAGCCAACACTCTGAAATAAGATTAGAGAACTGAGTAAGACACATGCACTTGTGCACGATTGCAGTTAGCATGTGAATGAGTGTCTTACTCATTTCTTACTCATTTCTGGGGCCCCTGGGCTTGGCACAATGTCTTGCATAAAGTAATTACTTGGCAAGTGTTTCTCTTAACTAAATGATATCTGTTAATATAACAATGCATATATTTGGGCAAAAAATGAGGCAGCAGACTGGGTGCAGTGGCTCATGTCTATAATCCTAACACTTTGGGAGGCTGAGGCAAGAGGATCATTTGAGGCCAGGAGTTCAAGACCAGCCTGGGCAACATAACAAGATTCCATCTCCACAAAAAAATGTTTTAATTAGCCAGGCATGGTGGCCTGCACCTGTGGTCCTAGCTACTTGAGAGGCTGAGGTAGGAGGATGGCTTAAGAAGTTTGAGTCTGCAGTGAGCTATGATGGTGCCACTGCACTCTGGTCTGGGCAACAAAGCAAGACCCTCTCAAAAAAATTTTTTTTAATGAGGCAGCGGAGTGTGTCACACTCCTAGAGCAGGGCTGGGACCCCTTTCCTGCAGGAGCAGCACTCATCCTGCTGTGTTGGGACAGCTCTCTTCATGGGGTGGTCTCGAGCCCTACTTGTAGACCTTTTTCCCTCGATTCTTTTTAAAGAGGGAAAAAGCAAGCAGTACCTCGAGCTTCCTGTTCTACCAAAACGTAATGGGCAGAGATGAGTCAGACTGCCAGCCTGTGCCTCCTCCACCCCCTTCCTTCCTGCCCCCAATTCATGTCCCCAATCAACCTCTCCCAGAAGGGTGCTCTGCCAGAGGACATGCTGTCATGGGATGGCCCCTTTAGCTGCCCAGGGGGTTTCTGTGCATCTTCACCAGGGATGATTCAGCCCTCAAAGGGTTTTGCCACCTGAGAATGGCTGGCAGAACTGCGAGTAACCCCATGTACCCCTAGCCTCCAGGGGACCCCAGCCAGTTGGCATAGGGCAGAACTGTGAGTCACCCCATGTACCCTCAGCCTCCAGGGGACCCCAACCAGTTGGCATAGGGCAGCAGAAAGAAACCGGTGCTGGGAGGCAGGAAGCCTGGCCCCTCATTCTTGCTGGGTCCCCAACACACTGTGAGATGGTAACTGGCCACTGTCTTTTTCTCAGCTTGGTTTCCAGACTGTAAAACATAGGTTGGTTAGATCAGTGGTTCTCAGAGTGTGGTCCTAGGACCAGCGGCATTGGCACCCCCTGCAAACTTGCTGGAAGTGCCCGCTCTCAGTTCTCACCCCAGGGTTACCGAGTGAGAAACTCTGAGGGTGGGGCCTGGCAGTGTATGACTTGGATGGCCAGCTGACAAACACTTAGCTAGATGACCCCCAAGAGCCCATTCCTCTCTGACACCCTACTCGAGAAGAATGCTGGGCTCTAATCCCATCTTTCATGGTTTTGAGCTACTGACCTTGGGCATGCCTGACCGCTGGATCCCAGTCCCACATCTGCAAAGTCCAGCACTTCCCAGCTGCCTGTGGCTTCTGCATTTCAGCCTTCTACACTGCCAAGTATGGCTACAAGTTATGCCTGCGGCTGTACCTGAATGGAGATGGCACTGGAAAGAGGACCCACCTGTCGCTTTTCATCGTGATCATGAGAGGGGAGTATGACGCGTTGCTGCCGTGGCCTTTCCGGAACAAGGTATGGGCGTGGAGGTGATGGGGGCAAGGTGGGGAGCATGGAAGCCTGAGTCCTAGTCCTGATTTGGCAATGAATTGGCCATGTGACCTGGCAAGTCCCCCACCCTCACTGTGTTATCAGTTTCCCTTTTTCTAAAACAATCAGATCTAGTAACTAGGGCTCCCTCCAGCTCCATGAGTCCAGGAACTAAAATGTCTGGAATCTTCCCAAAGGTTATATAGAAATGAAATTCATGGCCAGGTGCAGTGCCCCACATCTGTAATCCCAGCACTTTGAGAGACTGAGGTGGGAGGATTGCTTGAGCTCAGGAGACATAGCAAGACTTCATCTCTGCTAAAAATAAAAACCATTAGCTGGGCGTAGTGGCACATGCCTGTAGTCCCAGCTACTTGGGAGGCTTAGGTGGGAGGATTGCTTGAGCTTGGGAGGTTGAGGCTGCAGTGTGCCATAACCTTGCCACTGCACTCTAGCTTGGGTGACAGAGGAGACCTTGCCTCAAAGAAAGAGGGGAGAGAGAGAGAGAGAGAGAGAAAGAAATGGAGGAAGGGAAGGAAGAAAGGAAGGGAGGCAAAAAGGGAGGGAGGGACAGAATGAATGGCCAGTGGCTGCCCACTCTTCTTCCCCCTTCACATCGTGGGGTAAATAAGGAAAACTTCTGGGAGGAGGTGCCGTGAGGCTAGCCTGAACTAGCAGAATTTTCAGGAAAAAGGAAGGAGGCAGGTACCACTACATATTAATACTTACAAGAATGGCCAAAATCTGGAACACTGACAGTACCAAGTGCTGACGAGGATGTGGAGCAACAGGAACTCTCACTCGCTTCTAGTGGGAATGCAAAATGGTACAGCCACTTGGAAAGACAGTTTGGCAGTATCTTACAAAACCAAAGATACTCATACCAAACGATATAGCCAGTTGCTCTCCTTGGACTCAAAGGAGTTTACTTAGAGGAGCTGAAAACTATGTTCACACAAAAACCACCCAAGGATGTTTATAGCAACTTTAGTTATAATTGCCAAAACTTGGAAGCAACCAAGATGTCCTTCAGTAGGTGGATGGATAAATAAACTGTGGTGCATCCAGACAGTGGAATATTATTCGGTGCTAAAAAGAAGAGAGCTATCAAGCCATGAAAATATAGGGAGGAACCTTAAACACATATTACTAAGAAAAAGAAGTCAAGGTGAAAAGACTGCGTTCTGAATGCTTCTGACTATATGACATTCTGGAAAAGGCAAAGCTATGAAGACAGGCCAGGCACGGTGGCTCTCGCCTATAATATCAGCACTTTGGGAGGCCGAGGCAGGTGGAGTGCTTGAGCCCAGGAGTTTGAGACCAGCCTGGAGAATATAACAAAACCCTGTCTCTACAAAAAGTACAAAAATTACTGGCCGGGCGCGGTGGCTCAAGCCTGTAATCCCAGCACTTTGGGAGGCCGAG